CAGAGACAGATATATAAACATCCACACCAGCAGTGAGTGCGCAGAGAGTTTCTGATCACAGACAAGGACCATGTTTTGGAGCAGGGGTCACAGGGTCACACATATACTGGTGAAATATCAGAGTGAAATAAAATGTAATGTTAAATATGGAGATTTAAGTCTTGTCTTATGTGCTAATACCATTGGGAAAGGTATGGATCCTCTTCTTCTCCCCCCAGCTATGGATAAATAGCAAGACAGGCTGGGTTCTATAGCTTTGGATAGCAACTGGTCTACCATAGAAAGAAATGGCAACTTACTGCGGGAAAAAATCTGCCTCGTCAGCAAAGTTAATGAAGATATGTAAGGAAGATAACAATTAACCCTAGACTTGAACAAGTTAAGATGGTAGTGAGCAGGGAAGCTTCCTCTTGGGAGTCGGTTCCACAAAGTAGCAGTTTGTGTGAAGAAACTGCTTGAGTGGAACTTACATTACAGCAAGTGAATACAAAGAGAATGGAGATGGTTTGTTATAATGTGTGTAGCATGGTGGGTCGTAGACATGAAGGTTAGAACTGGTGGTAAGAGGCTTGCAATGTTTCATTTGGGGGAAAGAATTGTAGGAGGGAAAATAATTAATTACCCAAAAGGCTGGAAATTGAAGACTAAGGTCCTATCATCTGTATTGATGTGGGTAAAAAGTTCACAGTGTAACATTTTGTCCAGACTTCTTGATAATTGCAGCAGGAGTACTCTATTGTCGGCCTGATCTGGCTTTTATAAACATTGAGCATAGCAATAGTGTAAATAAGTGTCTTTTTGTTTCCATTTTCTTTAAAACTTCCTCATTTCCCGCCATTTCTGTCCATATTATTCTCAGAATTCTTCTGTAGGCCCATATCTTTGTTAGCTCAAATCTCCTCTTCATAAATGAAGAAATTATCCAGCATTTTCTACTATATAGGAAGACTGATACTACATCGAAGTTCATTGCTCTTTTCTTTGTTACAATAAAAGTGTCAAGGTCTATATATATATATATATATATATAAACAGTATACTACAAACTGATACCAGAAACTGTTTTAAAAATCCTGTGAAAAAATTAAAATTCATAGGTGAAGATAGTCATTTACTAAAGGTATCTTAATTCTAATTGTAAAGAAAATTTGCTTTGTTTATTGAAAATAAACATGAAGCACTCTGCATATTTCAAATTCTATATTGTGTTATGTTAATAGGACTCACCTGGATTATACCAACAGATTACTACCTATATATATATATATATATATATATATATATATATATATGGGGAAAATATGTGACAAAACAGAAAAAGTTTTCTTGTGACACAGGAAAACCAATATTGTTCTTGATATATAAAAATATATATTGTTATCTCATATATATATATATATATATATATATATATAAAATGCATGTTTCATTAAATAATATAGACAAGTTTTGTCAATTTATTTTAAGTAAGTTCCTTCCATATTGTCTGATAAGCTTAATCACATTATCGTTAAAAGACGAAAGGAAAACACCATATTGATACATGTTTAAATCTAATCTAAGTTTTCGGCTCACACAAGCCGTTATCAAAGATGATAATTTCAATAAATCAAACAACAATGATAGTCCACCCTTGCTGCATGAAAATTTCCAAGTAATGACACTCGTATATACGAGATGCCGAAGCAAAATATATATATATATATATATATATATATATATATATATAGAGAGAGAGAGAGGTGGTGGAGGGAAAGGGGAATGAGATCTTTTCTACACTTTAGACACAGTTCTGTTCTTACTGGTAAATGAATTTGTCTTATTTAAATACTGACATACATGGATAGCATAATTGTTATTGGTGGATAATTTGGTATTAATTTTCATATTTGTTCCAAAATCAAATTAAATTCAGATTTCAAATTTATGACATAAGTTTTGGCAGAAAGGAAAATGGCTACCCTCTTGATCTTCTGCATTTTAGCATAAATGCAAACATTGCACAATTTAACAAGACCAAGTTGTATGATCCAATAAAATCCATGATCTATTTGTGTTTACCAAAGTTTGGCAAGGATAGCACTTGATTTGCTTGACAAATATTTTTGTTTTATTTTAATGTTTTTTTTTTCTTGATTCTCTGTAATATCTCCTTACCGTTGCCTGAATGTTTATTTATGTTGATATATATATATATATATATATATATATATATATATATATATATAATGTTCATACTAAATCATGTTAATGTAGTGTAAATTGATTGGGGTCGCAGCATTTAATGAAGTTTTTTCATTTTAGTGGTTACTGACTGGAGATTTGCAAATTTTTTAAAAGGAAAAGAAAAAAGAAAATGTAAACATAGGACTGACTTACCCATCCATAAAAAAAGAAGGGGTAGAAAGACTATGCTGTCCATCTCCTCCTCTCTAATCCCAACTCTAGTGGCTATCCCAGAATTCTCACTTTGATCAAAAGTTGCCGATAAGAGAAACTTGCTGATCTTAAAATGGGTGAATTCAATCACTTTTGAATGTAGTGTATGTTTTTGTTTTAATTTAATATGCAATGTCTCCCTACATTTGCTTGAACATTTATGTTTATATATATATATATATATATATATATAATTGAGTTTTTTGTCCTTGTCAACCTTTTGACGATTGTGCGACCGCACACAAAAAAGAACATGTGAGCACACAAAACTTTAAGTGTGTGCGTGTGGGGGGGGTAACAACAAAATATATGTATCTTTTATATATTGTGTATATACATATATAGGAAGGTTGGCTGGAAAGTTCTTAGGCTGTCATAGATATAAAAGTAGAGACTCCTGTTGGTTGGCTAAAAGACTTGCAAGTGTACTAGACAACGACAAATGATTGTCCAGCTGTTGCATTCTGAAACACTTGCATGTCTTTTAGCCAGCCAGCTGGTGTAACTACATATATTTATATCTTGGTCATGAACATTCCAGCCGACACTCGTACATATGGCAGTTTGAAGGATGTATAACAGTATCCAAATCAAAAGTGGAGGTGATGAGCCAATGTGAAAAATGCATTTAAGTTACCTATTTCGCCAACGTGATGTCTGTTGATTTTGGTCTCTTCAGGTCAGAATGCAAAGCAGAATTATCTGTAAGGAAATGAGTTGTGAATTTTGAGGATAAGAGGGGAAATATATGATTTAATAAAGAACAAATAGGAAATCTTTGACATTTTGCTATTTATTTATGTTCATACTAAGTTATGTTAATATATATATGTTAATATATATATATATATATATATATATATATATATATATATATATACATACATACTAAATTATGTTAATGTAATATCTTAATTGATTGGGGTTGCAGCATTTAATGAAGTTTTTTTCATTTTGGTGGTTACTGACTGGGGATTTGTAAACACAGTTTGAAAGATTTGGTATTCAGACTTAAAAATGAATTATTTTATTTTATTTTGTTACCCCTGGCAAACAGATATGTACACATGTCTGTGCTGGGGCATCTGTGGGCCACAGCTTGACTCTCCAAATAATTTATCTGAAACTCCATTCTTTGAAATAACATATCTAAAAGTTAAACCCAGGATTGTTTTCTGTTTTTTATTTTGCAAATTTTTTCTTTATAGGAGTAGATAGACTCTCGTATCACCTGGTCCATACTCCCCCTCCTTCTCTCGAACAGGAGTAGAGGTTCATCCCTTGTTTCCTGTTTAGGAAGGGGTTCCTGGTTTCTTTCCTTTTCTCAGGCATTAATGAATTTTTTGTGATGTGTGTGGATGGTGGCAATGTCACTTCATAGTGAGGGTACAAGGTTGACAGTTTTCTGGTTGCAATTGCTGACTGGTAGTTAGGAGCCCCAACACTTGCTTAGCATCTTGAGAATTGCATAATATCAGGATTCTTGCAGTGCCCTGTCGCACATGGGAGAGTGTCCCTGCAAGCACCTCTGGTGGACAACCTCAAGGCCACACTATGTTGTAGTCTGCACCAGTTCCCTTCATGCACATGTTACATTAGATAACCAACTGATACTACTCCCCTAGGTCTTTCCTTACCAAAATAACACATTATGACTATAAACAATCAAAGATATAAACCAGCTCAAAAAAAAAAAACTAAACCCATTAAACTTTCTTCTTCCAACTTTTGTGGTAATCCTACCAACTTCTGCAGTGTGGAATCATTCCTCTTTGAAAAATCTCCAGACATCTTAGCTCTCTGCAAAACTAATCTTAACTCTTCAATCTCCTCCTCAAATTTCTCAATTCCTGGCTACTTTCCTCTCCTTAGAAAGGACTCTAAAGTCCATATGCATGGAGTTTATGTCTTCAAACATCTGCTAGCTAGGAAACTTTCTCTTAAATCTCCAAACCATTCATACATGTATCTCACTCTCTCTCTCTCTCTACTTAACTCAGTCAGCTATCTCTTCTTTCTCTACCATTCACCTTCCTCTCAAGACTGTTGTGTGCTAGATAGTATTTCTGATAATATAGACAAAGCCAACTCCTTACACCTATTTGCAAACATATTCATGTTCAATGACTTTAATGCCCACCATACCAGGTGGATTAAGCACTCTATCACTGACCTCACTGGCATCCAAACCCTTAAGTAAGTCCTCAATCCTTCCTCTATTAAAACCAGAAAATATTTTTAGATTGTAAGGATTTTTTATTTTTAGATAATAATGATTTATTTAAAATATTTACATTGTTCAAACTGTTGTCCTCATCTAATAGTAAATAGTGTAAATAGTTACAATACCTCATATCAGAAATATAAACAGATAATAATCATTTAGTGATACAAGTCTTACTAATTAATCCAAGGCTGGGGGACAGGGAAAGAAGTGGATTCATACATTTCCCAAGGGTATTTGCACATAAGTGAATATAACACACCCAACTGGAATTGGAACTTGGCTCTCCAATTAACAATTCCAGACCATTATCCATTGCACCACCTACACATGTAAGCTTACAGCACCTGGTATTCCAAAGTGGTCACCCATCAATGTGCTGACCAGGCTTGATGTTGCTTAACTTTGGTGATCATACAGGAACCAGTATTTCAATGTGATGTGACCATAAATTGCATCATTGTTAGGGTTAATGAAACAAAAATATGAAACTGCTGAATTTAGGTCCAATTTAGACTGTGGGTACTTATATACAATTTATCTATGAGGAAGTCATAAAACCACTTCTACCCTGTACCCATCAAGAGATATATTACATTTTCTCTTTTCCAATAATTCATGAAAAAAAAAGTGGGTGAGTGAGCACAAGGAGACCCTTCCCATAACTACTTTATCTGCCCAGGATGCAGAAGCAAAAATCTGTTACTGTCATAGCCAACCTTGACAGGGGCCAATAAAGGTTCATACAACTAAAAATTTCAAAAAAAAAGGTAAGTGTCCATTTTCTCTTTGATATTTCAGTTAAAAGTATTTTTCCTACTGGCTTTCATTCTTACTTTTTTTTTTTTTAAGACTCTTCTTTGAATTTATCAGTGATCGCCAGAAACAAATTATTTTCTGTCATGCAGTTTTGTGACAAATGAAGAGGCTGGAAGATATTGTTTGTTCTTAATCATGTATCTGCAAGGTTAGGTCATTGAATCAACCTGATTGGAGCCTTGCGTCCTTGATCAATAATGATGCTCGCCTGGTTGACCAGGATACTTGAGTTGATCTTTATAGAGACACGCTCATGAATATGTCCTTCTGCTTTGATTATTGTAGATATCCTGACTTATTTCTCTTCAAAATAATGAGATTACAACTTCGCTTTTAGACAGACATACATACATACATACACACACACACACACACACACATATATATACATATATATATATACACACACACACACATATATATATATATATATATATATATATATATATATATATAATACCTTTATCTATATAAACATCTATACAGCTGTTACCTATTCCTATTTGAATGTTTCTATCAACACCCACTCCATACCATCCTAGTGTCCACAGAAGCGACTTCATTATGATTACTAAAATCAAGATTGCAAAAGTCTTAAACAAGGAGGCTGTGCTCCGCAAGATACACATGTTGGACAGTTCACATGTCAAGGATGGAAGACATTCGTCTGCCAAAGGTATTACTGTTCAATGAGTTGCATCAAATCAGCAATACAGAGGAGTACTTTAAAAAGAGTTTCAAGGACTTCTGAAAGAAAAGTGGGTATTTGTGGGCTATCTCTCACTATCTTATAATTTATGTATCGGTGATTTTTTATAAAGTTAGATGTGGTATTTAAATTGTCTTTTAATTTAATTGTTTTTTTTAATTAATCATTTTTTCTTTGTGTTTTTTTTTTTTAGACTACTAAATGAATCTTTGGAATAGCATATTTTTACACATCTTCATTTGTGAAAAAGTTGAAAAATTAATTTAAAAAATGGCAACAGATAACTGACAGGTACCAAAAAGTGAGTGTTAGTCATTATGGTAGCAACTACTAATATATTCACAGAACCCGTGTTTAAGAGCAGAGATATGACTGTACTGTCTTAGATTTAGTATACAGTTATTTTCAATTTATTATCAATCAACTTTTTAAACTTTTACCTACAGTGATTGTGGCAGTTTTCGTTGACATTACCAAAGCCAACAACAATATCTGTGCATATATACACACATATAAAAATACTCAAACACTGACAATTTATACAAGTAGTTAGTACAAGTACAAGAAAATTTATGAGTATTGTCACATCAAAACAACATGATTTGTTATAATTAACAAACTATTTAACATGTTCAAAATGCTCCCATTCAGGTTCAAAATACAATGCTGAACCCTATCAACAACACTTCTATAAATGATTTGGCATATTTCTACATTAATTTCAGAAAGTTTATCAGGAATTGCTTGTTTTAATCCAGGAATTGTTTTCGGTTTGAGCCCGTAAACAAGATCTTTCAGCCCATCCCACAAGAAAAAGTCTGTTGGTATTAGTTCTGATAATTGTGCTAGCCATTCAATTGCTCTACATCAAAGGGTCACAAACCATTTTTCACAGAGGCCAGATAACAGAGAGAAGGAGCAGCATGGGTTGGATAACCACTTTGTTCAATACAATACACTGATTAATTTTATCTCTTATTATTCATTAATTTTATTTTAGTTGGGTAAGAATTTAGAATCATCTAATGTACGGATGTGTTGATTTTGTGTGTGGATGTGTGGACTCAAGTACAAAGACAGTTTTTTTTTGTTTTTAATTAATCATTATTAATTTATGCATTTATTTGTTATTTATTTAGATTTTATAATGAGTTCAGCCAAAATATATGACATAATTCACTGAAATCAGTCCTTTTTATATATGGCACTCTTTAAACTGGTTTAAACACAGCAATGCAAATTAAAACATGGTTGATGCAGCAGACTCGTAATCGCTTTTCTTAGAAACTTTATTGCAGATGCACAAAAAATGCTAAGATATCAACAGTCACAAAAAGTTGCCAAATTTTTTATTTCACTGATTTTCCTAAAACTTATATTACTATCAGATGCAAAAATCAGATTTACCAAATTTTGGCATTTTTACTTACATTTATTTTAATTTTTTTTACATGGTAAATTCAACTGCAATCTATTAATAATTCCATATAAATATTTATATTTTAGCTCATTTGTGGCAAAGTTTGGCAGAGGGTCAGATGAACTGACATCACAGGCCAGATCTGGTCCATGAGCCATAGTTTGGTGACTCCTACTCTATATGTTTCTACCCACCTCAGCTCAAAAAATAAAGGGTTTTAATTTTGTTGTACCCTGTATTTTAAATTATTTTAACTCCAAGATTATTTTTAATAGTCATTTTGTAATTGCATTCTACTTATAAAACATGAAAGACATAAACATTACCATAATTGCTTGATGGTATACACACAGACACACACACACACACACACACACACGTGTGTGTGTGTGTCATATACTGGTGAAAATATCAGTGCCTGCCAGTCTATGTTCATTAATATGAGCACAAATAATACTTTGAACAAATGACAAATCAACCTACAGGAACTGTAGTAGTTGTATGCTTAACATATGAACCAGATGTTTATACCTAATAAATATAAATACTTACAAATAAACACATGAAAATTTGTTAAAGATGGCTTCAGATTTTTTTAAACATTTATCATAAAATGGAAAAGCCTAATGCTAAATAAGATCTTCATTTTGAAAACTGGGATTTTAAATATACTTAATAATTGGCTGATGCGTTTAACTCATCAAAGAAATTTGCTTTTTTGTCTCCTCATGCATAACAAAGAATTACATTCATTGGATTCAAATATACATTCTCTTGTATCTCTTAAATTCAACCAACAAAGTCTGTCTGTTTAATTTCATATTTCATTTTTTGAGGATGTTGTTGAACATCCAAATCAAAATTGTGTATAAACTGTCCATAGGTCATGTTTTGTTCAAGTATTTTCAATCATCTCAGTCTTTATCAAGAACTGAATGCAGTCAAACTCTGTGAAACTGTTCTACATATGATATATTTTTTTAATCATTTCACTCCAAGCAAGACCACAAATTCACTAACACACAGGGGGTTACTTAGTTTGAAAAAATATAAAAAAAAAACATTATTAAGGTGAGAGAATAATAAAAGAAGAGAAATTAAGATGACAGAAGATAGCAATTGACATTGCATTTAAATTGTCAAAGATCAAACTAAACTGGAAAGCAAGAAGCCAGAAGAGAGTTCCACAAGTGAGAAAAGCAAAAATCTAGACTGTGATGAGATCTTGCTGTCAATATAGAACTGCATTTAAATTCATAGAGTCTTGGTACCATAGAACAGACTTTGGAATTTGAAAGGAAGCATTCCAAAAAATGTATCCAACAATATCTTGTCTACTATAATGACAATATTTAGTTCTTGATAATGAGTGAGACGGTTGAAAGTGTTTGAACAAATACAATTAAAATCATATCAATTCAGTTACCATTTTCCATCACACAGCACCAATTTAATTGTAGAAGGAGATGATCAATAGCTTTCTGGACCACTCTTGACTCATTCATTGATTTGTCTTGTCATTTTAATATATAATATACATACAAGGTGAGTAGGAAAAAATTCTCAGCTTGAGTCATTTCCAAAAATTTGACTGAATAACTGTTGTAACCTAGGAAAGGTTACTGAATAGAATAATAATCACATGAAGACTAGTAATGAATGATAATACTTAGGACACGAACAACATATATAAGATTCACCAGCTGTGTGTAGAAGTAGTCAACTGCTAGAAGTGAGTCAAATGAATTCCACATCCGAGCCTATAGGCTCAGCCAAAAATTCCCCATAGACCCCATATTAAACGGGTTTGGGTAGCTGTTTCCTGAGATGAGACCCTGCCTGGAGGCAGAGAGTTTGACCAGCACAGCTGGAGACGAATCTTCAACTGCAGACCAACATACAATATTTACTACTGTATTTATGTGGAAATATGCATTATCGTCCATAGATATGCTACAAAAATAACCAAAAATCTGACTTTTGGTCAGAGAATGGGTTCTTAGCAAGTCAGAGAACTTTTCAACATCGCCTTGTGTATATAGTTATGTATATAGAGTGTTGAGATATTTCTGCCTGCCACAAATTGTGAACTCACATGATTTATTTATTTTTATTAAGAATTTCAGACATTCTGAGTTTTTTTAGGTTAATACTGGGCATGGGAGTGTTGTATCGAGTAAACATCTTTAGATACAATGCCAACCCATGTTAAAGAGCTTCTATTGAATTGTTGACTTGTGAATTTGCACTAGTACAACTATCGACAGGTTTCAAATAGTTTCATCTGCCCAATTCCACTCATCTAATTTCAATCCATGTTTCATGGTTGGAATGCTAACACTTTAACACACACCCATTTCTCATATATATATATATATATATATATATATATATATATATAGGATGTATCAAAAATAATTTTACAAACTTTGGGGGCAGGTTTTTGGGACCAAAAAAAGAACAAAAGTCCATATAAACATATACCTGTATGTTATGGTAA